CACCACAACCGATCGAGTACACTTTTAGGAATAAGTTTTTCGATCCAATTGGGCTGTTTTGAAAGTGGTGAGAAAACAGTCTGATGTTTGAACGATGTAAATATCATAGAAATACTAAAACTGAAAACAAAATTCGTTCCTTTCGGGTTTGAAGTTCAAGCTGAATGGTCTACAACAAATTAGAAGTGCAAAAATAATTGTTTATTTACTCCAGTTGATTGAACCGTATCGATCAAATTTTGACTGGAGAAAAATGCCCGACAAAACTTGAGGGACAATCACTCTTCTACTTCTCATTTCGTTAGTAGAAGTAAAGGGTATCATTAATGAGGAAATGCTACATATCAGGGCATTTTATCGAATAGAAAAATGTTATTAGTGTACGTGTTTTAATAAGGGCGTAACTGAAATATCGAGCATCGGCGATCGGTATCTACCGGGTGCTTTGATATTCTGTGGCGATGCGCTAAAATCGGACAGCTAGCTGATTGTCCATCTGTAAGTGGTCGGTTTCACTTTACGCCTGCCGATCGATATTCGACGCTTCCAAATCCGCCACCATCACCCCATACGGGACAAAAAGGGGCGGGTTGTGATTACTGCCTCTATTTTGCGACGACACCTTGTCACAAGTGGAGTCAGATAGTTCGAAAGTTATGCAGTAGGAAAGAACACAACACCTTGTTCACGGGAGGAGTATCGAATACGGCAAAAAGGATGGATGACATGGCATCTCTTTGTCATACTTTACGAAGGTTATAACTACCCTCTGCTTGAAATCTACATTTCTGAATTGGCTGGTCGCCGTCTCGGACTCAACCCAGTTAGAAATCTCTGGGGTTCGTTAGTCAGGAGAGTGAAGGCAATAACCTTGTCTGAAAGTGCTCTGACAGAATCATAGACCGACTTACGAACAGCCGCGCAACAGTTACACCAGAAACACCAGTTCAGAATTTGAGGAACCGAACGTGCTACCCAAATATTGAGGAAAAAAATGTTTATAATATCAGTGCACTGTCGTTATAATTAGTTTATTCGGGTGATGGTGTCGCTGTCACAGGCGTACTTTATACCCTATGGTTCGAGGTTCGAGCCCCGCTACCTCCACTCAAATTTGGTGATAGTCAGCTTTTCTGTCGTCTGGTTCAATACCACTTCTAACCTAGTGGAGCTTTATATGTGGTTTTCATCAAGTCCAAGTCTTGGGGCTTAGGTGACCGGTTTCCATCATTGAACAGCAGGTCTTGGTGACTATGGGGATTTCCCCGTCTGCTGTTCATCACACACTGGTATGTGATAAAAAAACATTCGGGATTTCAATATTTTTCTATTTTTCGTGGCCATGGTGATCATCGCATAGCAAATGCCCTCCCCCCCATCGGTCATGCTGAGCACCACTGTATGGTTTGAGTTGAAATACCAAACATATAGATATTCCCAGTTAAATGATCTGTTCCGTGTAATCTACTGATGAAGTCCCCTAGGATGCCCATTTCCAGTCTCGTCCATTGGTAAACATGGTAAACAATTGTCCTGTGCAAAGACTCCACATTGGACATTCGTTAGAGGATGCTACTGTATGTTCATTAATGGGTTTCGATTTCACGCTCGATATTTGATCTCCAAGGTCTAACTTTCGGTATCATTTGACTTTGTTCTTCCGATCATTAGACAGACATTCTTCTCACTGGAACAATGTGAACCAATAGCTGATCCCAACGGGATCAGGAATGCACCATCGTGATGTGAAAATCATGAGAGGAAGTACGGTGCCTGTCATTTACTAGAGTTTGTAAAAGTACATCACCAAAATCGAATGTATGTGCTCACCTCATAAGATACCGTACAGTTCCTCAATCCTCTTGAACACAGTGCTTCTTGAAGGTGTGTCGTTTCCTGGTGCTTTAATTAGCATTTTTTAGTCTTAGAAAATCATCGAGCT